AATAATGTAAGTGTCAGTAAACCGGAAGTTGTTGAGTGATGATTCTGAAAACCCATCACACGGTATAGCTGACTTATATAAACCCTGAAACCAAATGTCAGAAATCCTTGTAATGTGAAAATTTTTAACTTGGATGTTGTGTGTAAAATGATGTAAGTGTTCGGTAAACAGGAAGTTGTTGAGCGATGAATCTGAAAACGCATCACACGGTATAGCCGACTCATATAAACCCTGAAACCCAATTTCAGAAATGCTTGTAATATAGTTCCTGAGAAAAATGTGACGAAAATTTTCAACTTGGATATCATGTGTAAAATGATGTAAGTTCCTGAGAAAGATGCGATGAAATATATTCATGGGACGGACGGACCGACTGATTCATGGACGAATGGACAGACAGAGGTAAAACAGTATACCCCCACTTTTTTAAAGCGGGGGCATAATAAAAATCCTATAAATAAACTTAAAAGCATCACAAAAATTCTGAATTTCCAGGTATTTTTAATGGCCATAAATGTCATTTTCAGTACAACTTTCTAAGTTCATTGCGGTTAATTAATTGATGAAGGAAACAAGAATTACCTAAGGAAACACAAAACCTTCAGCAAGTATTTTTTTTTTCAAAGTTAACCTTTCAAAGTAGATATATGAATAAACTATGCTTTGAAATATTATACCTTTGTGTAATTAATGACATTATTGTAATCAAGTTTCACCTTACACAATTAGTTCAAGTACTAAAATACAGTAAAACCAGTAAAAACCAAACCTTGCATTACATTGAAACCTATGTAAACTGAACTCTTGTTTCCAGCCATATAGTGAACAGGTGTAATAACCACCATTGTTTTTCCCCTATTAGTTTTTATTAAATTTGCCCTTTTCAAAAAATATGTTTCAAATAAAGAAATACTTGGCATGAGTAAAGTTTCATCCTGTCCAGTACTACAGTCAAAATTTCACATAACATTTCATTGCATATAAGATATTAACCATCGCTGGAAGTTAACCAATCAAATTTTCACCCCTTTTTTTCCTGTGTACAAGCTTAAGTAACCATGTAACCTCAAGTTTCCAAAATATTCTATAGAAACACCAAATAAAAAAATAATGGTGCTTTCAAACACCCAAGATATATATGTTTATGACATCAGAAATTTTTTACTGCAATGAAATGTAGCATTAATTTAATTGTCAAATTCAAGGGAATATTTTTTTTCGACCCTTTTTTGTATGTAACCAGATGTGACATACTATTATTTGGTGGTATTACACCAATATTATAAACATATAGTGTTTAAAGAAGGACAACTCTGGAATTCAATCTGCTGCAATAGTGAAAATTGAACATCCTGTATTTTAATTATAGATGGTAATGTTGCAAATTTAAAGGGTTCCTTTTTAGAAGAAAGAGACTCTTTCTGGATTTTTAAGGATATTTTGGGGACCAGTATGCTGTTTTCAGTAACTTAAATGACCACGAGCCCTCAGCAAAAATTTGAAAGGAGGTTCTTGTTATTTCTTTAGATGCTATTTCTTGATCATGAAGAAGCTTCTCTTCCAAATTTTTGTAATATTTCACGATGGTTTGACAACTTTATTGAGGTCTTACAAACTTTTAACACACATCAAACCTAAATTAATACAAATGACAATGCTGAAGTTTCACACACAATGTTAGGTCGCTATGTCTCTCTTTTGTGAATTTCATAGCAGGCAAGACAAAAACCATCCAATTGGAAAGGACTTAATTTTAAAATGAAATACTGTACATTTAGGAACAAATTATACAAGTCAAAAGATTTGTGCAACAAAAGATAAAAGATAATCATATATATCTTAAATTGGAAACCAAATATTTCTACACAACAAACGGTCTTTGTCAGTGTCAATCTCTTTTCCATTCTAGTATTTTTAAAATTATCTCTAATCATTATCATATCACAAATCTAATTAATATATGTATTATATATTATATATTGAATTTACCAATATTCTTTTAGAAAATACAATGAGAAATTTTTCTGTTGGAAAAGCCCAGAATATTAATGTACTGAATTAACCTGTATTTGATATCTAAGAGTAGGTTTATTACCAGGTAATACATCTCTTTTTATTTGTAGGTTTAATATTCCACAGTTTCTATTACAGTAAACAACTGCCTTGTTGGTAGTGTTGGGAATCGGCTGGAAAATTATCATCTATTTATCAGTATAATCGTACAGCATGCTCTGATTCTATTTCAATTATAATCAGTTTTTAATTTAAATGCAAATTATGTAGGAATTAAAAAACGCTATACATTACGTAATTACGTAATACTTGTGCATGTCAAATAAATTATTAAAGGGGCATTAGCTGTCAAATTCATGTTCACCGATTTGACTCAAGTTCTCATATTTGATTTATAACATACGAAAACGTATATCCAAATTATAAAAAGTCTGAAAGAAACAATTTACGATGCATGTAACTTGATAATATGTATCAGTGTTTTGTGTGTATTTTAGTAGAGACGCCATCTAATTGAACCATTGAGGTGACCTCGAAAACTGCTGACAGTCATATAACCCGATATAAACATTAATATAGATATAAATAGATAGCGAACACGTGCAATTGGATTTTTCTAGGTCTGTTTGATTTCATATTCAGGGTTTGAAGCTAAGAAAATATAGCAGTAGCCAAGTGTGCAATAAAAAAAAAATAAGGTAGTCCACTTAAGAAGTAAGGGGCCCAGAGGTGCGCTGCGAGGGGTCTGTGTCTTGTTCACCTTTCCTTTAAAGCAGTGCGGGGATTGTTAAGATGTGTTCAAATTGGTCTGTCGAGACATTTCCCCGACCGGATATTATGATTGTAGTATAATAATCACAAAGTCGGCAGAAAGGTGTATAAATTTTTCGTACGAGAAAAACAATAGCTACAGAGAAATTTTCATCTCCAGATCGATCACTGCTTAACTTTATTCATCATCTTTTAAAAATAGAATTATCACAAAAGTTAAATTACGCAAGGTGAAGTATCAAAATTGAAAATCATGCCGCACTTCCGTTTCGTGTCGTTTGGCTGTTCTGTTTATCCTGTCACGGGTTAAACTGAACAGCTGAACGAAACCAAAGAAAAGTGCTCAGGATACAGGAGTACTATTTCAATAACAAGAAGAAACATTAAACTGGACCCCTATTTTGCTCTCATCTAAACGTTTATGGCGGAACGTCAATCAGTGGGTAGCCAATTGAAGAAGCATGTGCAAAAACTTAGTAAAACAAAGTTGGAAGACTCCTTAATTAGAAATATATTGTTAAAATTTCTGTTTTTTAAATTTTTATTTACACTGAAAAATTTGGCCAGAGATTGGATTTTTATTGGCCCACACTGGAATTTGATATTCACTTGCCAAGTGGGCGACTTAGATGGAATTTTTATGGGCCCACACCGGAATTTGATATTCACTTGCCAAGTGGGCGACTTAGATGGAATTTTTATGGGCCCACACTGAAATTTACTCGCCAATGGCGAGTGGGTGACAGCTAATTTCAAACCCTGCTATATTAGGTTTTAAAAAATGTTATTCATTGTTTTTACCTGTATAAGAAGTTTTTGTGGATCGAATCAGTCAACCAAATGGTTTACCCTTGTTTCACTTTCAATGTTGACATTCTTTTCCTTTCAATAGCTGAACATGCCTAGTTTATGCGTAACCCATCTCTAGCTAAGGGCTTAAATTGAAAGTCACATGAATACGGATTCAATGAGGTCGAATGCAAGTGAATATTTCATCAGTGATATTTCTTAGCTTATTTTGACAAAATTGAACTAAACTGCCAGTTAAAAGCCAATTATTATTTCACTATTTCACTTTCATTAATTGAACTAAAAAAATTATTTAAATTTTCTTATATCTCTTAGCTAATGCTTCTTTAAAATTGAATTACCAAAACATACAGATGCATAAATGCTGAGTACTCCATAAAGTGTATATGTACACAATGGGTGTCTTAAGGCGTTCCTAACAATTTACATAGAGGTGTCAAAAGTTTCAATAAATAGAAAAAAATTTCACCGACACTTTTATAATTATATAATTATAATCAATAAACAATTTTTCAACTCTATTTTCGGATATAATCAATACCGGTATTTGAAACATCCCTTCTTCAATGTACTTGTTGATCTTGTAGCAGTCTGCTTTCAACAAGTGCTTGAGGTCATATGTTCAATCCTTGTTGTTGTCAAACTTATCCTTTAATATTGGTATTTGCTATTCATGTTGTTGTGGCTTCAGGATAATGTGACTATGTAGGGTAATTGGTCGCTTGCAGACTGTTGTAAGCAAGCATACTAAATATCTGACTCTGCTTTTCTGTCTAGTAACTAGATACCCTAATAATGATTCTGGCTAAGTTTGGTTAAATTTGGCTAAGTAGTTTCAGAATTATTCTTTTTAAAAGTGAACAGACAACAGAGGAGGGAACCAAGTGATGGCATAAGCTCAGACTGGCCCACCAGATGAGCTAAAGAGCAAGGTATACTGTAAACCATCTTATTTTCCAGACTTTTGCAAGTAATACTCGCTATGAAACAGTAGAAAAGCTTGGCAAGCCTCGCTTTTCCTACAGTTTCTAAAACTGGTACAAATTCTCCTTTTTTTTGGACATATTTTATTCATATATTGTGTATATCTTGAATGGTGCAAAAATTGTGACAGGATGTACATTGCATTAATGAAGACTCCTGGTTCATTTCATATAACTAAGTATATGATTGATGATTGGTCCAAATTTTGGAAGTTATAAATGCACTCATTAAGTTCTGAATATACAATATTAATACTCACTCATAAGAACTCAATGGAAAAATATTACTCAAAATATCTTACTCTAGATGCTGCCATGAGATGTATTTTCATAATTTATAACACAAGCCAGCAAACTATTATATGGGTGTATGAATACTGGATAATTTATTAAATATGGCATTGTAAGATGAACTCACAGTATGTATCATTTCTTAGTGGCATACTCTAGCGGTAAAGATGATCGGACTCTAATATTCTGTATCCCTGGATCTGTTCCATGGTAATGACCAGCTCCATCAACTGTTAAATACAAAATTCCTTTACAATTTTAATAATAACTAAATCATCAATTTATTAAAGTATATGATGTTGTATGAAAAGACATGGACCATATTGAAAGCTTAGCAAATCAAAGAATACCCTTGTGTCTGTACTAAGTCAGCCTATCTTGGCCATGTGTTCTTTGTTACTGTGAATTCATTATTATCCTTGAGATACAAATTTCATGGGTATAAGTGAGCCACAAATTCAAATGTCAATGTTTGCTAGTATAGTGTAGGTAAATGAAGTGAAAGGTGCCACTTCTGACCTCTAACCTTTACAGACCTTCTTGTACAGTACCTGTATCTTGTATTGTGTAGGTAAATGATGTAAAAGATGCCACTACTGACATACGACCTTGACATACCTTCTTGAACAATACCTGCATCTTGTATTGTGTGGGTAAATGATGTAAAAGGTGCCACTACTGACCTCTGACCTATACATATCTTCTTGTACAATACCTGTATCTTGTATTGTGTAGGTAAATGAAGTAAATGGTACTACTACTGACCTCTAACCTTTACAGACCTTCTTGTACAATACCTGTGCCATGTATTGTGTAGGCAAATGATGTAAAAGGTGCCACTATTGACCTCTAACCTTTACATACCTTCTTGAACAATACCTGTATCTTGTATTGTGTAGGTAAATGAAGTAAAAGGTGCCACTGGTGATTTAGCTACCAAAACCTGGGGAAAAGAGAAATTACTCATCAGTTTCAATGATTCCTTGGAAAACAGCACTTCAAACCAAATGTATCTGCGATTTGTGTATGTAAGCATGTACGTAACCAGATTACAAAACACAATACTTTAAAATGAACTATTTGTACTGCATTTAATTTTAGATGAAAGAATGGGGAACTAGATATCAATTATTGTAAAAGTTATTTCTAAAAACATCAAATAAAAAATTTCTGTTTTTCCAAGTTTGAATATAAAGAATTTATTGGGGAAAGGGAGATAACTATACACAAACAAACACAGAATTTCTTGAATTCTAAGAGGGATATATTCTTCACTTATTTTTTATCCCTCAAAGCCTTTATATTATTCAATATAAATGCATGATTATCCTTTCATATTCTGCCACCTTTAACATTATACTCTTAATCAGCTGATTTATCTTCAATTGGAAATATGTGTCAAGTAGTTTCTGTTACAATATTCAATAAAATGCTTCGCTGGGGCGCAGCTTGATACGACCGCAGAGGTCGAACCCTGAACAGTTGGGGCAAGTATGGACACAACATTCAAGCTTGATACAGCTCTGAATTTGGATTGTTATTAAATATTTGACACAGCATAGGTTTCTGACACAGAAAGAATGTGGTCTAAGAACTTGAATTTTTTTAATTTACCTATTATGGTCCAATGTCCAAAATCAAAATACACGGTTAGATTCAGCATATCAAAGAACACCATATATTCAATTTTTGTTAAAATCAAACAAAGTTTAATTTTGGACCCCAACTTGGACAAACTTGAAAACTGGGCCCATAATCAAAAATCTAAACACATGTTTAGATTCAGCATATCAAAGAACCCCAAGAATTCAATTTTTGCTAAAATCAAACTAAGTTTAATTTTGGGCCCTTTGGACCTTAATGTAGACCAATTTAAAAAACGGGACTTAAAATTAAAAATCTAAATACACGGTTAGATTTGGAATATCAAAGAACCCCAATAATTCAATTTTTGATGAAATCAAACAAAGTTTAATTTTGGACCCTTTTGACCTCAATATGAACCAATTTGATAGCGGGGCCCACAAATAAAAATTCTAAATTCATGGTTAGATTCAGCATATCAAAGAACCCCATATATTCAATTTTTGTTGAAATCAAAAAAAGTTTAATTTTGGACCCCAACTTGGACCAACTTGAAAACTGGGCCCATAATCAAAAATCTAAATACATGTTTAGATTCAGCATATCAAAGAACCCCAAGAATTCAATTTTTGTTAAAATCAAACTAAGTTTAATTTTGGACCCTTTGGACCTCAATGAAGACCAATTTAAAAAACGGGACCCAAATTAAAAATCTAAAAACACGGTTAGATTTGGCATATCAAAGAACCCCAATAATTCAATTTTCGATGAAATCATACAAAGTTTAATTTTGGACCCTTTTGACCTCAATGTGGACAAAGTTGATAACGGGGCCCAAAAATCAAAAATCTAAATACATGGTTAGATTCAGCATATCAAAGAACCCCATATATTCAATTTTTGTTGAAATCAAACAAAGTTTAATTTTGGACCCCGATTTGGACCAACTTGAAAACTGGGGCCATAATCAAAAATTTAAATACATGTTTAGATTCAGCATATCAAAGAACCCTAAGAAATCAATTTTTGTTAAAATCAAACTAAGTTTAATTTTGGACCCTTTGGACCTTAATGTAGACCAATTTGAAAACGGAACCCAAAATTAAGAACCTAAATACACGGTTAGATTTGGAATATCAAAGAACCCCAATAATTCAATTTTTGATGAAATCAAACAAAGTTTAATTTTGGACCCTTTTGACCTCAATATGAACCAATTAGATAACGGGGTCCACAAATAAAAAATCTAAATACATGGTTAGATTCAGCATATCAAAGAACCCCATATATTCAATTTTTGTTGAAATCAAACAAAGTTTAATTTTGGACCCCAATTTGGACCAACTTGAAAACTGGGCCAAAAATCAAAAATCTAAATACATGTTTAGATTCAGCATATCAAAGAACCTCATATATTCAATTTTTGCTAAAATCAAACAAAGTTTAATTTTGGACCCTTTGGACATTAATGTAGACCAATTTGAAAACTGGACCCAAAATTAAAAATCTAAATACACTGTTAGATTCGGCATAACAAATAAATAAATGTGATCAAAGATTTTACAAATCTAATGCGCCATACTGTGCAATTAAAGATTACTTCTTGATATTTTTCAATATTTGAAATTTGAAAAAAAAATAATATTTGAAGAATAATTCTTTTTAATTTCTGAAATCTGAAATGAGAAAAAATTGGCCCCCCACAATTTCTTTTTATCCCCCCCCCCCTTTTTCCCCCAAAAAAATTCTTTCCCTGAAGATATGGTCATAATCTCAATTCAAATTTCCAATGGAGTTGGCAACCATAATTACCCATTTAAATTTACCATAGTGCTAACTTAATCTATTTTATAATAGAATTAATAAAAATATAGTGTCAAATCTTTCATATGGATTTTTTTGTAAAAAAAAAAGATGAAAACATTTGCAGATATTTTTACTGGTCTTCCTTTATAAATATGCATTTCTTTAAACATAATTTAAAAGCAGAGTAAGGGAAGTAACCAAAACGTTGTATTTGGATTACCTCCCTTACACTGTTTTAGATTATCTTTATTGTTCATTAACCATTACTTTATACATAATTTAAAAGCAGTGTAAGGGAGATAATTTCAATGATGTATTTGATTTATCTCCCTTACACTGCTTTAAATTATGTTTTGTACTAAAGTATTTGTCCATTAACCAGGACAACCTTGTTTTTCCCCCTTTTTTGCCCCTAATTCCTAAACAGTTTGAGCCATAACCCCCCCCAAAGCAAATCCTAACCATCCCTTTGTGGTATGGAAACTTGTAGTATAATTTCAGAGAGATCCATACACCGTTCCACAGTTATTGTCTGGAAACTAGAAAATGCTCATTTTTGGCCCCTTTTTGGCCCCTAATTCCTTAACTGTTGGTACCATAACCCCCAAAATCAATCCCAACCTTCCTTTTGTGGTATTTAACCTTATGGTCAAATTTCAAAAAGATCCATTCACTTAAACTAAAGTTAGAGTGCGAAAACCAATATGTATTCGGACGACGACGCCGGACGACGACGACGCCAACGTCATACCAATATACGACCACAAAATTTTTTTGCGGTCGTATAAAAACAGCTAGGATTACCAGAGTGGGGTCCATAAAAGAGCAAACTGGTTCCAGGAAGTAAATATAACTGTTCTACATCAACTTACTTGTCTTTTTTGTCCTTCAAGGTATTGTAAAATCAACCTTGTGTTAACATTATGGCTCCAGGTATTCCCTAAGGCTGCCGTCACATATCCACTGTCTGTTTCTGGTACAATTTCTCCTGTAAAGAAAAACAATTATTATCATAGAATCAATGCATACATACATTAATATAAGCACAAGATAAATATTTTTTTTTATTTCTACAAACCCCTCAGGAATTTCAACATGAGGTGGTACCATTAAAACTAAAAATTTATAGTGACAATTTTAGATCAAATTCATACAAGTAATGAATGCATGAGAACTCAAGTGTTTAATTTACTGGGAAACATATGTTTTCCTTTAAAATAAACCAGATAATGAACATATGCACCAATGGACTAGGTCCGTTAAGACCTCTTTTTGGCCCTAAAATATAGCATTTTGTAAATTTGTTAAAAATGTAAATTTTTAGCTATCAATTAGGAAAAAAAATGTTTGTTACATAAATATGGGCTGTTTTTGACAATACAATGCACATGCATCAGGTACTGGCATCATTAATTCATGCAACATTACTCAAATCTTCACAATTGTAGCATTTGTGCTCATTTTTAGACAGTTTTTGTCTAAAATGGAAGTGCCCGCACTTGTGTTCAGTCTTAATATTCAAGTATATATATGTTGTATTTGATGATGATTCATAACATATATAAAGGTTGAAACTGAACATGAATGCAGCCACTTACATTTTGGAGAAAAAAACATCTGAAAAGTAACGTTTTATGGCATATTTGATAGATTTTTCTTATGTAAGCTTGAATTGGAGCACCTTTAATGACCAAATCAGTTCAAATCTTTTACATAATTCAATCAACTGAAGTAGACACTGAAAGTGTTTAAAAAATGTCAAAAATCTTTCATCAGATGTACTTCAAATTTTAGACCAAAATTAGCCCTTACCGGGCCTTCTCCTTTAAAGTTGATGTGACCACAAAATACATGAAACCAAAATTTTAATGAATGATTGGATGGGCATACAGTCTGGAATAAACTGCTTCGCTGAGCGCAGCTGGATACGCCAGCAGAGGTCCAACCCTGAACAGTTGGGGCAAAAATGGACACAATATTCAAGCTTGATAGAGGTCTGAATTTGGATTGTATTAAATATTTGACATATTATAGGTTTCTGAATAAATGTAGTCAAAGAACTTGAAATTGGTTATATGAATTGAATTTATATTCAAGTAAAGATTTCTTGCTGTTGTGCAATACACTGTGCTGTTGCGCAATACTTAGTAAATCTGTTGTCAGACTATAAACAATTAAAGTTCAATTAATTCTCAATGTCATATTAGAAATTTATGAAAATGTAAAGGGAGCTTACATCAATAGATATAAACAATTCACAAAAGTTTCATGAGAATTGCTGACAGCATTTTTGAGTTATTGTCCGAAAACTGGAAAATCCCCCCTTTTTTAATGAATAAAACCCCATAACTCAGAAATGTAAAATGTAAAATTTATAAAATTCTAAACGGAGCTTACATCAATAGATATAAACAATTCACCAAAGTTTCATAAGAACTGCTGAAAGCATTTTTGATTTTTTGTCCGAAAACTGGAAAATCCCCCTTTTTTTATGAATAAAACCCCGTAACTCGGAAACGTAAAATCTAAAATATATAAAAATCGAAAGGGAGCTCATGTCAATAGATATAAACAATTCACCATAATTTCTTGCAAGTTGGTGAAAGCATTCTTGAGTTTTTGAGTTAATGTCCGACATGTTGACGACGGACGGACAGACGGACAACAGTATACCATAATACGTCCCGTAAACGGGCGTATAAAAACTTACTGCCCCATGACTATAATGATCAATATAATACATAGCCTTCATTCAGTCAGGTAAGCTTGAATGTTAATATATAACATTATATAATATAGGGAAACTTTCTGTAATTTTTTATTTTAAAATTGCATTAAAAATCAAGTCTTTCCTACAGAAAAATACAGACTGTATAACATAAATCTCAACAATAACAACAATATATTTTTTTTTGTGTAGAGGTTAATTTACATCTAAGAAATCAATAATTAACAAGGCTGAAGGTTGAACAGAATGACAGAACAACTTTTCAGTTTCATCAGTGGCAGAATGTTTTAACTTTATCAAATATCCTAATTTAAATATTGTTACCTCCCTCCTCCAAATCAGAAGGTGTAGGATTCTGTCCAAATCTTGTTGTAATCTGATTGGTTACCACAATCTGTAAAAGGCAATTTAATATTTTCATTATGCATTTTCATCTCCCCTTGTGTTTTTATTTTTCAGTTGCATGCATGTGTTGTAGTTGCTTTATGCTATATCTGATGCAAAATGTACAACCTAGCTGATAAAAACTTGGTGCTTTTTAGGAAATTGAAATATGTTGTTTGCATATGCTGCTGTTTAGTGTTAGTTTATGCTTTATATATTCAGACTAAAGCTCTATAAGCTTGAGTCTGATCGTTTTATTCATTTGGAATCTTACCAAAGTTTCTTAACTACCGTACCTACTCACCTAGTAGTTGGAAATTTGGGAGTAAAATTCATAATCCAGAGAGGGGTACCAACTTATAGGCGGGATCCAGCGACCAGAGGAAAAATCCTAGCTTGAGAAAAGTGGTCAGGAATGAATTTCCTGGTCAAAACTACGTTGGTGATTGTCAAACCTACATAAATCTCTAAATAAAAAGTTTTTATTGAAAATAAATGACTACAATACTGTCTTTGTGTTATGCATGCTGTGAAAAATATTTTCAACAAGTGTTGTTTGATTTTTAATTTTTTCAGGTTCATATTGGTTTATATTCGCTTTTCTCAAACAATAGGTTGTTAGTCATACTCTACAAACTCATTGATGCATTACGTAAACAACACTGGCTAATGAAACAGTGAACAAAACAAGAGGAATGAATACATCTTTATTATTAACAGCAATATAAATCATCATGATGAACATCAATTAAATTCAAACCAAATAAACATTCATGCAGAAAATGAATATAATTCCTGGATTTGCATTGGTTTTACCGGCGTTCAGTTACTGTCAGCTGCAAAAAAAATGCCAAAAATTTGTCCCGACTTATACCAGTGTCAAGACCAAATCCTTGGAATTTGGAGCTGAAAAGGGCAACCGACTTATAGTCGGATCGACTTATACTTGAGTATCAACGGTAAATATGAAATCTTGTGATGTGTGATTTTTAGTTCCTCCATATCTTTTGGATACAAAATTGTGTAAACAACTGTTAAAAGTTTGAATTTGTATTTATTTTTTGTTTTTTGACAATAACAATTTTTGAGGTTTATCAACTGAATACAAATACATAGAGTTCTTCTACTTACAGGAATACAAAAAACTTCTGCCAGATATTTCAAGATGGCTGCCTGCTGTGACAGGAAGTTGGTTCTGTCAATCAAACTTTTTCCGCCACTCCCACTGTATTCCTTTCTAACCAATGATGCAATAGAATCTACCACAATCAATTTTATTTTTTTTGATATTATCTCCTCTTCTAATGATGTCAGTCTAAATAGAAAAACAACAAAACGTTTTTAAATTTATACATTTATATGTGTTAGATGTGTTTCTACAAAAATTCTTGACAAGCAGAGTGTATAAAAATAAGAAGATGTGGTATTATTGCCAATGAGACAACTCTCCACGAGAGACCAAATGACACAGAAAATAACAACTATAGGTCACCCCATGGCCTTCAACAATGAGTAAAACCCATACCGTATAGTCGACGATAAAAGGCCCCAAAATGACAAATGTAAAACAATTCAAACAAGAAAACTAAAGGCATGATTTATGTACAAAATAATGAACAAAAAAAACAAAATATGATATACAGCAACAAACGGCCACCCTGAATTACAGGCTCCTGACTTGGGACAGGTACATACAGAATGTGGCGGGGTTAAACTATTTAAAGGCGCCAACCCTCCCCTAATCTGGGACAGTGGTGTAACAGTACAACATAAGAACAAACTTTAATAAACTGCTTCGCTAAGCGCAGCTGGATACGCCCGCAGAGGTCCAACCCTGAACAGTTGGGGCAAAAATGGACACAATATTCAAGCTTGAGGTCTGAATTTGGATTGTAATTAAATATTTGACATATTATAGGTTTCTGAATAAATGTAGTCAAAGAACTTGAAATTTGTTATATGAATTGAATTTATATACAATTTAGGATTTCTTGCAGTTGTGCAATACACTGTGCTGTTGCGCAATACTTAGTAAATCTGTTGTCAAGACTATAAACAAATAAAATCTTATAACTCGGAAACGTAAAATCAAAAAATTATAAAAATCAAAAAGAAGCTTACAAAGATAGATATATAAACAATTTACCAAAGTTTCATAAAAAATGCTAAAAGCATTTTTGAGTTATTGTCCGAAAACTGGAAAATCCCCCATTTTGTAATGAATAAAACCCCATAATCGGAAACGTATAGTCTAAAATTTACAAAAATCAAAAGGAGGCTCATGTCGATAGAAAAAAACAATTCACCAAACTTTCTTGCAAATTGGTGAAATTGTTTTTGAGTTCTTGTCCGATAACTGGAAAATCCCCCTTTTTTAATGAATAAAACCCCAAAACTCGAAAACAGTAAATCCGAAATTTATAAAAAATGAAAGGGAGCTCAGGTCAATAGATATAAACAATTCACAAAAGTTTCATGCAAATTGGTGAAATTGTTTTTGAGCTATAGTCTGAAAACTGGAAAATCCCCCCTTTTTTAATGAATAAAAACCCAAAACTCGGAAACTGTAAATCTGAAATTTATAAAAAACTAAAGGGAGCTCACGTCAATAGATATAAACAATTCACCAAAGTTTCATGCAAATTGGTGAAATTGTTTTTGAGCTATAGTCTGAAAACTGGAAAATCCCCCCTTTTTTAATGAATAAAAACCCAAAACTCGGAAACTGTAAATCTGAAATTTATAAAAAACTAAAGGGAGCTCACGTCAATAGATATAAACAATTCACCAAAGTTTCATGCATATTGGTTAAAGTGTTTTTGAATTAATGTCCGACATGTTGACGACGGACGGAGGTATACCATAATACGTCCCGTAAACGGGCGTATAAAAATCAGTTGATAAGGGCTTAACTCATCAGATGGATACAAAGCAGAAATACATCAGTGTACACATATAACGATTGTATCATAATGAAGGAACAACCGAAAAAAAAACCATTTTATCTGTACAAATATTTTAAACTTCATACTACTGTTCTCTATGGTCTATTATCAACCTATGCTTGTGTATAAATGTTTGATTTTATGTGTAAACATTCATTGACACGGTGAAAAAAAGAATTTGTGTCCATAGGACTCAATTGTGTGAATGCCCCACTCACACTTTCAGATTTCCATGTTCAGCAAACCCTGAAACTGAGTAATAAACTGTTAACACAGAGATATTTCACACCTTTTTGTTATTTTGAAAGATAAATGCAAATGTTGAAATATTTTGACATGTAAGTTATGCAAAATATTCAAAGTTAATAGACCATGACTGAGGGGCGGGGCCAAATAATCTCTATGGAAATGAGATGTGCCAATGTTTATACAACTGCATACCAAATATCATTGACCTACACTAGTAATTCCCCATAAACTGACCTAATAACAAACTAAAACATGTCAACTAAGCAAAAGTTTCAATTCAATAGACCATGACAGAGGAGGCGGGGCCAAATTATCTCCATGGAAATGAAATGTGCCAATGTTAATACAATTGCATACCAAATTGACCTACACTAGTAATTCCCCATAAACTGACCTAATCACAAACTAATACATGTCAACTAAGCAAAAGTTTAAAAGTCAATAGATCATAACTGAGGGACCAGGGCCAAATTATCTCCATGGAAATGAAATCTGCCAATGTTAATACAACTGCATACCAAATACCATTGACCTACCACTAGTGGTTTTTAAGCAAAACTCTAACCTGAAACAGGGAATACTATTGGATGGATGGACATAGAGACCAGAAAATGTTATGCACCCTACAATCACAAGCAAGGTATAAAAATAAGAAAATACCAAGGGTAAGTCAAAAATCGTACATACATTACATACACTCCTAGTAAGCTGCAGTAGTATGTCTTTACAATTCTCTACCTATTTTATCTATAGATTTTTAACTTTCAATTAAAAAGAGATGAACATAATTTTTAGTATCAAATAATACATTTCTCTAGGAGGGTTACAGTATGACTGCAAACCACCCCTTTTTTTTTATCAATATATTTAAGAAAACAAAAAAGTTGTTGAAATACATCAATTACATACTTAATAAGCTATACCTTTGCACTTTTTATCTAGGTTTTACCTTTATTTAAGAGAATAACAAATACCAAGTATGTGTCCATAGTACACGGATGCCCCACTCGCACTATCATTTTCTATGTTCAGTGGACCGTGAAATTGGGGTCAAAACTCTTATTTGGCATTAAAATTAGAAAGATCATATCATAGGGAACATGTGTACTAAGTTTCAAGTTAATTGGACGTCAACTTCATCAAAAACTACCTTGACCAAAAACTTTAACCTGAAGCTGGACAGACTGACGGACAGACGGACAAACGAACGGACGCACAGACCAAAAACATAATGCCCATAAATGGGGCATAAAAATACAGAGATGTTGTATGATCTGCAATGAGACAGCTATCCACCAGAGACCAAATGAAGTGCATGTAAGCAACTATAGGTTAATGTACAACCTTCAACAATGAGAAAAAATACCATATAGTCAGCTATAAAAAGCTTAGGTTTAAAAAATGTAAACCATTTCAAACAAGAAAATCAACAGCCTTCTTTAAGTTAACTACAATAAATGAAAAACAATTGTGGCAGACAGAAACAAACAACAACCACTGAATCATTATAATCCTGACTTTTAACAGACATATAAAGAATGTGGTTGGGTTTAACCTGTTTGTTGGATGGTTGCTTCCCTTGTTAACAATAGTAAGCTGTCCTAAACACCTTTTCATCAATTTTGATACCTTTTTTAATAACAGAAGAAAATGTCCAATGAACACCTACAAATATTCCCCTTGTAAGCTGTAAACTGTTGTTCTAAACACCCTCCCATTTTCAGTTAAAATTTGTACCTTTTACGAGAACAAGTACATTATTAGTAAGCTAGTGTAAACTGTCCTAAAACACCCTCCCCTTTTTAGCATTTTGTTTTGGCACTGGCTACGGTTACATGGAAATGTAACAATAATAAAAAAGTTATTGTTACATTGGAGACTAATTGCCGGAATACAATGTTGGCTAAGGAACCGATTAATTACGAATTTAACAATAATATTTGTGTCTACAGTTACATTGCGTTATTGTTACATTAAAGACTGCAATGTATGCAAGATATATTAAACTTAAACCTTCTATAGTTTTGTTTTTGTCTTCGATACCGTATAGCTAATTTTCGCGGGGTGTTTATTTTCGCTTATTTTGGCGGATAAAAGAAAATCGCGAAAATTAATGCATACTTTTGTTCTTCTATAAGCTAAAGTGTCGGTCGGTAGGTCAATAACGGTATAGGTTATTTTTAACAACATATAAAAAAAGGGCATTGAACATACATGTACTTTATAAAATGACTGTCATGTGTGTATATCCTTATCAATTAGTGTCAAATAGATTATGAGTAGGGTACTCTATCAGGTAATTACCCTTATTAATTAGTGTCAAATTGCATAAGAGTTGTAAATCATTCTTGATAATTTTATAACCTAATTAGTGAGTACATCAAAGTTCCGGTCAAGATCAATGAATAAGACGTCGTTTAGGGAAACAAATCAATTAACTTGCTTCTCAATTTTTCAATATTTTATATGCAACAATTTCAGTATCCGCCAAAATATTTAATTGGGATTTAAGAATCCACTAAAATAAAAACCACCAAAATTTGTCGTATACTTTGTTGCCCCTAAATCGCGAAATTTTACACCCGCAAAAATAACCCGCTATACGGTATGTACTAGATAATATTAGTGATAAATAATAATAATAATAATAATATTATTCAACAAATAGTGTTTAAATAGTATTAAGCATTGATTTAATTGTTTTGATGTTCTTAGAGATATCAAAATTGAGTATGGAAATGGGGAGTGTGTCAAAGAGACAACAACCCGACCAAAGAGCAGTTTAGTAGTGCCAAAGGCGAAAAATATAGTTCAATGGTTCGCTGTTAAGAACTTGGGCTGAGAAAATGTATTTTCTGGTTTGTGATGGCTGCTTGGAGTGATTTCACAAAAATGCATCGGACTTAAACATGATCCAAAAAAACAACATACTGGCCTGATTTGTGGAAACTGTCATTGTAAATAAAATAAAATGCTCCGCAGGGCGCAGCTTGATACGACCGCAGAGGTCGAACCCTGAACAGTTGGGGGAAGTATGGACACAACATTCAAGCTTGATACAGCTTTGGATTTGGATTGTGATTAAATATTTGACACAGCATAGGTTTCTAACACAGATTGAATGTGGTCTAAGAACTTAAAATTTTTAAATTGGACATTCACCTATTATGGTCCAATATCCAAAATCTAAATACATGGTTAGATTCAGCATATCAAAGAACCCCAAGAATTCAATTTTTGATGAAATCAAACAAAGTTTAATTTTGGACCCTTTTGACCTCAATGTGGACAAAGTTGATAGCGGGGCCCAAAAATCAAAAATCTAAATTCATGGTTAGATTCAGCATATCAAAGAACCCCATATATTCAATTTTTGTTGAAATCAAACAAAGTTTAATTTTGGACCCCGATTTGGACCAACTTGAAAACTGGGCCCATAATCAAAAATCTAAATACATGTTTAGATTCAGCATATCAAAGAACCCTAAGAATTCAATTTTTGTTAAAATCAAACTAAGTTTAATTTTGGACCCTTTGGACCTTAATGTAGACCAATTTGAAAACGGAACCAAAAATTAAGAATCTAAATACACGGTTAGATTCGGCATATCAAAGAACCCCAATAATTCAATTTTTGATGAAATCAAACAAAGTTTAATTTTGGACCCTTTTGACCTCAATGTGGACAAAGTTGATAACGGGGCCCAAAAATCAAAAATCTAAATACATGGTTAGATTCAGCATATCAAAGAACCCCATATATTCAATTTTTGTTGAAATCAAACAAAGTTTAATTTTGGACCCCGATTTGGACCAACTTGAAAACTGGGCCCATAATCAAAAATCTAAATACATGTTTAGATTCAGCATATCAAAGAACCCTAAGAATTCAATTTTTGTTAAAATCAAACTAAGTTTAATTTTGGACCCTTTGGACCTTAATGTAGACCAATTTGAAAACGGAACCAAAATTTAAGAATCTAAATACACAGTTAGATTCGGCATATCAAAGAACCCCAATAATTCAATTTTTGATGAAATCAAACAAAGTTTAATTTTGGACCCTTTGGACCTCAATGTGGACCAATTTAAAAACGGGGCCCAAAATCCAAAAACTAAATACACGGTTAGATTCAGCATATTAAAGAACCCCATGAAATCAAGAATAAAACCCCATTGAAATTGGTCAAGAAATAAGCAATTTATAGGAAGTATCTTCTTTTGCACAATCCTGTGCTATTAAATATTTCTTGCTATTGCGCAATACTGTACAATTGACAATTTCTTGCTATTGCGCAATATTGTGCTATTGGATATTTCTTGCTATTGCGCAATACTGTGCAATTGAAGATTTCTTGCTATTGCGCAATACTGTGCAATTGAAGATTTCTTGCTATTGTGCAATACTGTGCAATTGAAAATTTCTTGCTATTGCACAATACTTATTATATAATAATTTACACATCCTGTTTGGTGTGTATCTCCTACCATATCATTATTATTTGATTTTAAATATAAATCAGAAATAACCAACTTAAAATGGAAAATTTTAAAAGAAACAAAAAAGGAAAAAAAGAATAAAAAGGAAAAAAAAATAAATCCCCCCCCAAAATTTTTTGAACCCCCATTATGATTCATCACCCCCAAACTCAATCCCAGCCTTCCCTTTGTAGTATGGTACCTTGCAGTACAATTTCAGAGAGATCCATACACTTGAACACAAGTTATTGTCTGGAAACTAGAAAAAAATGTGTTTTTTGGCCCCTTTTTGGCCCAAAATTCCTAAACGTTTAGGGCAATTACCCCCAAACTCAAACCCAGCTTTCCCTTTGTGATATGGAACCTTGTAGTACAATTTCAGAAAGATCCATACACTTACACACAAGTTATTGTCATGAAACTAGAAAAATGCTTGTTTTTTGCCCCTTTTTTGGCCCCTAATTCCTAAAATTTGGAGGCAATTACCCCCAAAATCAATCCCAGCATTCCTTTAGTGATATGGAACCTTGTGGTACAATGTCAGAGAGATCCATACACTAACACACAAGTTATGTCTGGAAGTTACAAAAATGCTTATTTTTGGCCCCTAATTCCTTTACTGTTATTACCATAACCCCCAAAATCAATCCCAACCTTCCTTTTGTGGTATTGAACCTTGTGGTAAAATTTCATAAAGATCCATTCACTTAAACTAAAGTTAGAGTGCGAAAACCAATGTGTCTTCGGACGACGACGACGACGACGACGACGCCAACGTCATACCAATATATGACCACAAAAATTTTTTTGCGGTCGTATAAAAATTTAAAATTGTATGCAATATTGTAAATATCAAATAAAAGTTTTCAAGTTTTGTTTTCATACATATTACTATAGTCCCATCGTACATTGCAGTGCATTAGTGTAATAATCACGCAATGTAACCGTAGACACAAATATTATTGTTACATTCGTAATTAATCGGTTCCTTACCCAACCCTATATTCCGGCAATTAGTCTCCAATGTAACAATAATATTTTTATTATTGTTACATTTCCATGTAACCGTAGCCAGTGCCTTATGTTTTTAACTTTAAATAAGAGAAGAACATGATTGTTGAACATTAACAAGTACATTAGTAGTTATCTATAGTAAACTGTCCTAAAAACCCTCCCCCTTTTTAGTATTTTTTTTACCTTTTAATAAGAGAAGAACATGTCTGTTGAACATCAACAAATATACTCCTTGTAAGCTGTAGTAGGCTGTCTTCCTGGCTGAAGTATTCTGGGTATTTACACTGTGCTACCTGAACCAGCCTGTAAGTAAAATACATGTTAATAAATAGGATTATTCCATATTTGATTATGAAGAAACTTCTATCCTAGTTTTGTAAAATTCAAAAAGATTTACAGGCCTCTACAATAACTTTTTTTTCAACTTGTCCAGTAGGACAAGTACAACCCAAAACTTACTTGTCCGAATGAAATTGTAACTTGTCCAAAAAAAATCTTAATAATAACCTTTTTTGCATTTTAAGTTGATTCAAGGAACAAAATGAATTAAAACAATAGAACAGAACTTGATTTATATCTTTTGAAATACTTTTCAAAAATATGAGTCGAGAACAACTGAATCTAGTCATGTCACAGGGCTTAGGTTCTAGTTTTCATCAATGCCAAAGTCTCATCAGACTCTGCACATGAGGCACCGTCTGATAGGCCTGTCAATGTACACTCATTGGATTTGTATCCTGGTTGTTTAAGTTGAAAAAAGATTATTCAAATGCAATCAATAAAAAAAAAAGAAGATGATGTATGATTGCCAATGAGACAACTCTCTGCAAGAGACCAAATGACACAGAAATTAACAACTATAGGTCACCGTATTGCAAGTATTGTTTCTTTCTACATATGATCAAATATGATTTTGTGAATTTTATGGTAAATAATTTCTTCATTTTTATTTAAAAAATATTTTTGTTAAAAAAATTACCGGTATGGTATTTATTATAAAGCAACAGAATAAGGTAGGAAAACGAGGTACTGATTTGTGTTGGTCCCGAAATGTCTCCTGCGTTGCCAAACTGTCTATTAATCATGTCTATTAAATATGTCTCCTACGGTGCCAAACTGTCTATTAAACTTGGGAGCCGAGTCTTTCCGAGCTGGTGACGAACTGTCTTGTAAAGTTACCTTTTCTACAAAGCGCATCGCTGATTGGATCAGTAAAACTGGTTTCCGAGAATAGTATGCCTTTTACCTATTAAAAAGTACCTGACAAAGAACCAGTTTAAAATAATCGATTTGCAAGTAAACATGTCAAATTCATACTTGTTTTTATCTTCTTTTCTTGTTATTTGTTTATAATTACTTTGTTCATGAAAGTTGGATTAAATTTATTTTCTGCAGAATAATTTTACTTGTCCCGTCGGACAAGCTTGAAATAGCTTTTACTTGTCCGACCTTTTTTTCCTCTGGTACCAACAATCGGACAAGCGTTATTGTCGAGGCCTGTTCTAACAAAGCTATTGATGTTTAAAAATACTTTAACCACAGACTGAACCTAATGTTGACTATGCTGGGGACAATGGAACATTGTATCATGAATTGCTAGGTCTTGCTTTAGAAACTTACTTTGCAGCTTGACAAATCTAGGTTTCCCTCTCAGAAAAGACGGATCTCAGACCTTGGGTCTACACACATTTGAACCCCTGGCCTTTTAAAATGGTTAATGATCATAATGATAAGTGAGTAAACCTTAGGTCAAATAATTGAATTTCTTTGTAAATGATCTAATATGAATTAATTTACTTCAAATCGAGGAATAATAAGGATGCAGGTCTGAGGGGAGAGTCTTGGGACCAATGTTTTGGGAACTGGCTACAAATATTCCACTAAGGCACTACTTTTTGGGACCATGCACCCCTGATACCCAATTTTAATGTTTATCAAAAAATCATCTTCATAAAAAATCTTGCGATATTGTAATTTTATATTTGTAATAATAAACTTTTTGTATAAACTATGACCAGTTTTAGTTATAAGATTTTCAATTAAAGCAGCTGCTGTGTTTAATCTGTAATAACAAGTGAAACTGCGAGCTACTGCTCACTGATGATACCCCCGCCCAAATATTTTGGTAAACAGGAAGTTGATGAGTGATGAATCTGAAAACGCATCACACGGTATAACTGACTTATATTAACCCTGAAACCAAATTTCACAAATCCTTATGATGTAGTTCCTGAGAAAGATGTGACGAAAAATATTCATGGGACGAATGGACAGACTGACAGATGGACTGACGGATGGATGGATGGACAGACAGAGGTACACTTCACCCATCACTATTATTTTAACTTCCCAGCAGAAAATATTTTTCACTGAACTAGTATACATTATTGGTCAGGGGTTAGCTGGAGCCCTTCAACAGGTGTAGGATTTTCTCGCTGCGTTGGACTGATTGGTGGTCTTCGGCTGTTTTCTGCTCTTTGGTGGGGTTGTTGTATCTTTGACATATTCCCCATTTCCATTCTCTATTCTATCACTAAACTTTTACGTCTCAGCCGAAATGCTGATTCACTACAATTTTACCTTTCAGCTGAGAATGCAGACTCAGTATCTATGTACATCACACAACCATCTAGACCTCCAATATTGGCAGGAAGTGTGGCTACTACACTTAACATCACACAGAACTGGGTTTTACCACAGCCTGAAGGTCCTGCTATCTACAAAAAAGACATATTTCTTTCAATGAATCACTCACCTGGATCTAGGCTGCAATTAAATAAATATTTGTTCCCCCACACCCCAACAAAGATTTTTGCTGTTAGGTAGGTAGGTGATTTTTTTTTTGAAAATGTATTTGTCAGACATATAGAAAACATAATGCATGAAAAATTGGCAACTACACTCAGGGTACTCCATTTTGTGTTGATGCTATTCATCAAGCATTGTGTTAAGACTTTACTGTGAATTGTAACCTGTTATTGATAAGCAGCTTTGTACATTTTGATAAATACTGTATTGCATACAAAGCGTTCTCATTTCTGAAGTTTTTATTTTTCCTGTGCGTGGATATTTTATCCTTAGACATGAAGAGATGGTAATTTTGACTGCCATTGACGCGGATCAATCAGAACTACTCTGCCTTTTTCGAATTTTGTGTTGAGGAAATGACTAAGTAGTTCCGATTGGATGCAGATGCACATTAAATAAGAAGTCCAATCCAGATCACTATTTCCGGTCAGACGAACCTTTAAATAAGGACCCAATATTTTTTTTGTGGAGTCAGCTGCCTTTTTTAGTCGATTGGGGCATGGGGAAACAAACCTATTTCTTTATTTTGGCCCTGTGTGCATCTTACACAATGACCAATTTCATACAGACTTACAGTGTAGACTAGAAAATAATTCATTACTAAAATGTCTTTTTTTTTGTGATTTTGTATTACTGATATTATTTCTGTTTATAGTTTCACCCTTACTACTATACTTTTTACAAAAACTTACAACTCTCATTCTAAATTTTGATAGCATCATTTGCATGCAACATTTCCAAAAATCGCAATAAATGCTGCATGCAAAAATTTCTGAATTTACAATATACAAACCTCGGTCACAGTACCCATAGGAATACCACCATGTAAAACTTTGTCCAGGTCTAGTAAAGTTGTCTTGAAAAAATTCTTTGATTTTCTTCTCTCTAGAAGCTCTAATGCCTGTTAATGTTTTGGAAAATTGATCAAAAGCTAGAAAAGGTCATGTCTTTACCAAAATTGGTTCCAATATCATACACATCTTTTAATTATATATATATATATACCAGAAATTTGTCATTTGCAAACAGATTTAGATATGACAAAGTGACAATGCATAAAATAGTTTTTGATAAATTGTTTCATGTAATATGATAGATTGTGAGCAATTGCATCATCTGATAGTTTGGTTAAAAATTTATGGCAAGTAAATACTCATTGAAACGAAATGAAATCTGCGAATAGGGTTGGTCAAAAATTCTAAAATAATCAAAATTTTTAAAATGCTTCCTCAAAAGAGATCACATACTTTAGGACTTACCCGGTAGTATGAAAATAAAAGTTTTCGGATTGTTTATGAAGGGAGTTCCTAGAACCCTTGAATGTCCAATCCACATAAACATGATATACTTACAGTAACTGGTTCTGGAACACAAGCTTTACAACAAGTCTTTACCACCTTTTGTAAACTGTAATATCCCAATCCAAGTAGTTTCAGAAGTTCCAAATTGTTTTTTGACAAGAAATCCTGAAATCAAATGAACGTTTAGTACTGAAATTTCCTTTGTATCTTTAGTGTTATTGTTTTGATTATCTATAAACTTTTAAAGGGAAAATTCACGATTTTTTACTCATCATCTTATTATGTTCATAATACCATAAAAAACATATTCACCAAGTTTTATCTGGATATGAAAGCTAATAAAGAAGAAAATTGGGAATTATTAATTTTATTTATTCGAACTTCCTGACTTCTGTGACGTAGTTTAAGTCTTTTTGCATGCCGGGAGTGGAATTAATCTCATTTAAGTCTTGTTCGTTAATCATCTAATAACGCGATTTAAAACGCATCGACGACTTTTGGCATAGCTATTAACCAACTAATAATTAAGAAAGTAAAGTGATCAGCCGTGCAACTTTTAAAAATAAAATGTACGATTTATATTTTAAGGATTTCTGATATGATTATAGTCATTATAGTAATAAAAGTAAATCATACAATAGAATATTTTTATGAATTTTTTTTCCGACGGATATTTTCAACAAACATATATAACTGATAGTGTATTAAAAATGCATGTTTGTATTCTCACCTTTTACTTCAGTCTAGCAAACATTTCTCGCTAGTACTGTGTAAAATTAATACAATGTGTATTGTACTGTGACACTTAGTGACTACCTGTTGAATGCGTGGTTAAACTAAGGTATTTAAAGGTTTGCATTCTGTAATTCTAATCTTTTGATCTTCACTCAGTGAATTTTAGCCGTCACTGTTCACCTTCCAGGTGTGAACATCATTTCGTATGAATGATAAACGGGAGTGATAGTTTGAGATAGAAAATAAAAAAAGAAATATAATTATTTTGGGGGAGTAATATGGTGGCACAATAACTGGATAGCCGTGGTATATTTTTATATTTTCCGTAAGCTCAGTTTAAAATGAATTATGACTGCTGAATATTTTTGTAACAATGAAATACTGAATTAATTTAATTGAATAAATAATAATGACATTCTAAACACGAGTGTATGAACTAAAAATTGTACTATTCTAAATTAGAATTGGTAACCTTGAATATTTGAAATAGATGATTACCAATTGCAATTATATAATTTGGTCCGTCCAAAGCCGATCTTTATTTACATATTCAGGAATTATGTTCTTATCAAAATATTTTAAATCTCACAACGTATAAATACTTCAGCCATTTGAAGAAAGATGTTTAAAAAGTTGACAGGAAATTTAAGGTCAACTTTGTCTTATTGGAGAAAATTATCAGTTACATTAATATAGTTTGGTCCGTCCAAAGCGATCTACATTTACCTAATCGGGAATGTCCTTATTAAAATATTCTACATCTCACAACAAATACTTTAGCAATTTGACCAACGATGTTTAAAAATTTTTTACAGAATCAATCTAACGTCAACTTTCCTTTATTGAATGGAGACAGACCGGCGGAATCAATTTTTAATGTGCTTTATATCTTGTACCTTTGCAAGACTTATTCATTCATAAACCATGTCTATACCGCAGACATATATATACATATAATTATATGTCTGTCTTAACTGACAAGAATACTCCTGGTTTTACACTAGTAATTTGTCGAGTCCCTTTATAGCTTGCTGTTCGGTGTGGGCCAAGGCTCTGTGTTGAAGACCGTACTTTGACCTATAATGGTTTACTTTTATAAATTGTGACTTGGATGGAGAGTTGTCTCATTTGCACTCATACCACATCTTCTTATATCTATAAGCAGTATATTCTTTAAATTTCTGTGATTTAATACCAAGAAAGAAAAAAATCCCGAAATTAATTTGATACTTTGATACTCGATATTTTCCTGGAAAATATTCACATCCTCATTCGGTCTGAAAATAAGATAAGAAACTGGTATACAGAACATGCAGAAGTGTGAATGTCATAAAACCTTGTTATATCAGAAACCATTATAAATGTGAACCTGTATACGTAAGACCTCATGGGACGATGTACCTAACCACATACAGGTAATATACAAGTAGCTCTGTTATACCCGGAAATGTCAAGGTTAATCACTACCGATACAGAATGTACCAATGCAAAGTAAATTCTGATGATTGTGAAGCATGACCATTCATGATTTTAGAGGAGTCTTAGGTGGGGGATTGCCGGAACGATTTAAATTCTGACTAGATTTATTCTCAATTTAAATCACTGAACTAAAAAAAAAAAAGACGAAAACTACGTCCAAGAACAGAAAGAATTCTTCTTGTAAATTCATAAATACAACGTTCTTATTTTGTAACTTTCGATAGACTTGACCTCCAACCCCCTTCAAACCTGGGAACATTATATCTAACAATGTTTATGTTCCTGCCCAAATAAAAAAAAAAAGAAAAAAAAAGAAGAAAGAGATGAACCACTAGAGATGAACAGTAAGTCACATCAGATTCAGTTATCTATATAGTTGATTGTCGTTAACTAGAGATGTATAGTTACATGTCTCTGCGTTAACTGATAAGAATAACAGGAAAGTATAAACTTGAAATAGATTTATGATGAATAATATGCAACTGCGGCACCCCTTTTTATCAAAGCGTACATGCACGTATTTTAATGATTGTCCGTTATTTCGATTATAATGACAATTGTACGTGAAATCCTATAGTTGGTGCAGGGACAGTTTATACTAACGTTAGTATAGAAAGTCCCTGGTTGGTGAGACTTTTTTTTTTACCAGATATGCGACTTTTCGTATTTATATTTTCTCTTATATTACTCTTATTTAATATTTTATGCATAAGTGCAATATTGGGAATGGTTTATTCCCCCACAAGCTAACGTAATAAATTAATCAACCCTCAAGCTTATCAGACGTTAATACAACTACTATCAGTCTATCCGGATTGAAGTTTCTTTATTTCTTCAAATAAACTTTTTGGGGATCATTAGTGTACGTCCAGTGGCATATATATTACATGCATGTCGGAACAGGAAAATTGGCATACAGTTCTATTAGAACCATGTTCACATTAATATACATTATACCCAACAATTGAGGTGATGACGAATTTCTTCAACTGTTCGAGAACAATCTAATTGAAATATAAATCTGTGATTTTACTATGTCCATAACTTCGATGAACCAAAGCAAGTTAGATATCGACCTGTATTTAAATCAAATTGGTTCTGGATGTTCTTTCTTATATTCAATATACAATTTTAAATTGCGACTATCTATAGTTCCGTAACTTTCTATCTAGGCGTATAAATCAATGATCGACAAGTGCGTACATTTTTGTTAAATCAATAGTCTTTCATGTGTCCATCATTATTGACAACGAGTATATACTTACATTTTCCCCAATTTACCCTTGGAAAAAATATGTAAATAGATTTTTATTTTATCAAATCTTTTTTTTGGAATTATTAAGATTTTCATAAATATCATTCTTTACACCAGAAATGTTATTTATAAACAAGCGTATGAGTTTAGTAATGACTAGTATATCACTATCGGACATGCAAGACAGAGATGTATATTATACACCTGATAGTTTCAAAATGGAAAGTTACAAGTTATCGGCTGTGTACACTGATCAATACCCTCAGAAGTGAAGCGATGCATGAACATGCTTTATGTAATTGTGTAATAAGAGTTTTTAAGCCCAACAGGAAATCGCTTGAATACCTGGACGTGTCACCTCACAATACCTCAGGGAATAATTCCTTTAGCCATGCTGGTGATCAGATAAGAGAAGGTCCGAATTTATTTAAATTAGTTTATGACATAAAAGAATTATGAACAAATTAGATTTTCGAAAACGATTTTACACAGAACACTCATTTATGACTTTGAACTTTTGACTTTTTAACTAATTCCCATATAAATTTCTTGTTTCAAAAACTTCGTAAAGAAAAAACAGTTTAAAAACGACAGACCATAGTTATTTAAAAAAATAATTACATTTTCTGTAGCAAGTTAGTTAGTCGGATAAATGCGACTACGTTAGGTTACTGCTGGTTTTGGTCCTTTGTGGTTTATAGATATATCGTGGTTTCTAAACCGAGAAGATGTCAAAATGGCCGCACACAGAGTTGATACTCTAAATTTAAAATCGATGGTGATCTCTTATCTAGCAGAATAAAACGTTAATATTTATGAATTTGTGCTTTTTTATACAGAATGGACATAATATCAATTTTTTATTTTTTTGCGAAGTTTCCCTTTAAGTGTGATTTGTGCACTCAGCTTTCCTCAAGGTAATACATTTCAGAGTGTAATAGTACCAGTAATGTGATTTTCAGAGGGATCAATCTAGCAACTCATTCATTTTCTGGAAAAATCGGTTACCAAGAGTTTTTACATGTACTACATGTATTGACAGTATAGGTGCAGTTTTCAATATTTTTGCTAAATTCAAAAATTAAGATTTTTTGGCACTGAAAATTTATATCCCATTTGGGCTAAAATATCCCAACTGGATTATTTTAACCCATTTTGGAGATAATCCCCAACCTGTGTAATGTCTTTTTCTATTATCATACCTTACATATTTCATTTGGGTAACACATTACCACTGATATGGAATAATTCAGTTAATTTTCATTTAAATGCAAGGAAGGACGAATGTCCATAAAAATTTACACCCAGCAATGAATAGAATAAGGGAGCTAGGATGAAATTTGAAAAAAATAGGCAGGACAAGAGTTTTGAGTAAACAAAAAGGCAGGATGAGACACTTTGCAAAAAAAAAAGGCAGGATGACAATTTAGGTAAAAAAAGTCAGGATCAACTAAAAAAAAAATGCAGGACCGAATAGAGTGAAAAATAAAAAGGCAGGACAGAGATTACAACTAAAAAAAAATGCAGGACAAAATTTTTCATCCTAGCCCCCCCATAAAAATCAAATGGCAGCTCCCTAACTATTTCAACATCTTGATTGTACACTAGTTATCTCCCATTAAAATGATGTCACAGACGTATGTAAACAAAATGACAAAGACCATGTTAAAAGCCCATCATGTGACAAAGAAACAAG